GGGGGGAGGTGGTAAGTTGATGCATTATGTTTGGGTTTAGTCTCTGTTTTACATGGTAAAAGAATTTTTTGCATCACAAATTTCAGTATGCTCATGATCCTTTTTGTTTCCTTGCAAATGACTTCCTCGTGGATACAAGCTCTAGATAAAGCATGAGATGTTTTTAGACATTGTTGATTGCTAAAGATTTAGATCTTTTAAGTATACTGCTTTTCATATTAATTACATTGATCACAGTCTATTAATGTCTCAAAATTCCATCATTCATGACAGTCATATACTTTAGCCAAATCACAATAATAAGTAAGCAGGTTAGAATATTCTTAATTAACTCTAGCTTAATAAACTGTTCGATTAGTTGAAGCTTTTGCATACAGTTCTATGCAGTAAACCGAACAGAAAGATACCACAGAAGATAGTAAATGGGCAAAAACTTTTGGTGACAGGGAAGCGCTTAAATCTAGGGGTAAGGGGACAAGGAGTGAAGCCAGGCAAGATAGTGTGGTACTGGGGGTACCCACCCTGGACAGGAGTCCCACTAAGTCTCCAGGGAGTGAGGTTCATATCCCCTAGTGACTAGGAACTTAAGGGGAACCAGGATGGGGGCCACCTGGGTGGAGTACTGATATCAGGTGAGACCAAGGGTATGTCCACAGCTTGAAGGGGATATTTTTCCAGACCTGTCTTCAAGGGCTAAGACTTACTGTGGGGTGAAGTGCAGCCAGGGATTGCACTTACCCGTCACATATACTAGTTTTAATGGAAAGCAAGACAAAAAGAAAGTTGATCTATTGTCCAGTATAATTATACTATTGTGTATAATATCAATGATGAATTTTAAAAATACAAATATAGAGTTAGTCTAATGTAGTAAAAGTAAGGTGTAAAAAAGAGAACAAAAAAAGGTTCCAGTCCAGTGGGAGAGTGGTAGGAAAAAGACACTGTTGTGATTGAATCATTAGGCCCTGAGAAAATTGGCAGGGAATAGACAGTACGGCATAAAGGAGAGAACATGCGCATGATGAGCATGTAATAATATGAATGAAGCCTTAATTGCGGATATCATGATGAAGTAAGAGTGGACTTTGTTAAAAGAGAAGGATGCCTTGTATGAAAGAGCAACCAGTTACATTTACTGTTCATTTTTTTCTTGTACTTTGGATAATTGATATCTACAGTTATTTGGTACATATCCCCGGGGGGGGGGGGGTACTGCCATATATGGGCTATATAGGTATGTGCCGCTGTGAGGGGTATGGTTTTCAAGCAGTTCACTCTGGGATAGGGTATATAAATCAGAGAGTTTAGGTCTAGAATAGGGTATCATTTTCCAGGAAACTGATCAATTGGTTGAAGATTTTAGTCTACACTAGGGAAACCATACCGAGAATTGCCACTCAAAATATGAAAAAATCAAATCGTATTTGTTTTGGCTGGACTGTGTTTGTGACCTCAGTAGTTTCTGGAAAACAGCTACTCCGGGATAGGGGTGGGGGAGGGGGGGGGGATTTTGGGAGTTTAGTCTAGTTGCCCCCGCTGGGATTTCGCCCAGAAGGCGAAATCCCGAGTAGGCACTCTAGTAACTCGCGCGTATGTTGAGGAAAGTATTTACTGTTGAAATATACAGTCAGCATGCCAGAAAAAACTCTCGATTTGCTTGAACAGGGGCCGCGAGGAATCGGCAGGTAATGATGACGTTTCTATTGTCTGTGACCGCAAGTACCTTAGTTTTTTTATCTTAGCCATGTGCTAACTTTATGCTGCCGAAATCCTTGTCTGGGATTCTGTCCATGCTGCTACTGTACATGCAGTGGAAAATTTTTCCCGTAGCTAGCTGTCTTTTATATTTTTTATTATTATATTCCTGGGGGATTGAAGGGAGAGGGATTATCAACTAGAACTTGGGTGCAGGTGTGTGGCCCACTTGATAACCTTGCACAGTGTTCTCCCTAAATTTTAGCTCAGCAGGCAAGGGACCATTCACAGCCGGTAAGGCAAAAAATGTGCGCCTCAGAGGTGCACGTTTCCGGGTACTGGCGGGTAGTGGAGTGCGGGAAATGGCCCCGCTCTTGCTGGGAAATTTAGGAGCTAAGTTCTCTGAAATGTTATTCCCTCATTTTAAGACTTACTTTACTACGCAAATCGGCCGTTGTTACCTTTACACAACAAATTAAAACGATTGATTCCAATAATGTCTTCAATGTTCTCTTTCCAAATGTGTGGCCCATAAAAAGAAGAGCTGTGTATACTAAGGTAATTCTCCGTACATTTATTCATTTTCTTGTGGCATGTGAGAATTGGATCAGATCACAACTTGTGTATTTTTTAAAGTACTTAATCTTTAATTTTAGTAAACTTTCAGGCCATTGCAGGCGGTAAGAAGTCAGTGTTGCTTCAGGCGGCAAATTTTACTGGTTACCGCCTGATAAGGAGAATACTGTTGCAAAAAAGGTATTGGGTGTCTCATTCCAAACAGTAGACTATGAACCACTGACTGCAGAGTATTTTGTGTCCGATATGATTATGGAATACGAAGATGCTAGAAACACTAACAAGCTCATACCCAGGATGTCTTTTAAAAGTAAAAACCTGAAGGCAATGGTCACATTACACAACTCCGTAGTAAGACCAGTTACCTGTCTACACTAGAGGAGCAATTGGTGCAATCAACCTTAATTTTAACCACCGACCACAAAGCACTGTAAAACATAGTTCTATTCTCACTCCTTTTTCTTCCAAATTGTGTTGCCTTCGTCTTTATTTTATAGTATTTCTATGGAGTTTCCGAAACAGAAAATAAAAGCTAACCATTCAAAGTCAGTACTTAAGCCTAGTCACCGAATACACATCTCTCCAAAACATAAATGCAGGTCTATACACGAATCGCGAATCTCAGACGTCGCGCGGGATTGTGGGTAAGTACAAAGTTCAATCGGGCATCACTACAGATTTGTATGTACATGTGTATGCTATCGATATCGAACGTAAGCGACGCTAAAACAAGTTTGTAATCTCAGCAAGCTAGGAGGAGAGGAATTTTTCATTGGATTCTCGCTTGAAAAACTTACTTGACCTTATTTTTCTACGGAATTGTTCTGCGGCCCGATCCAGTTCAAGCTGCAGGTATGTCATCATGCGATCGAAGTTCTCTTATAGTCGCAGGTTACCGCCATGTTTATTGGCGATTTTGTTGTTTGACAATGACAGCTATCAGTTTTCCACCGAAAAGACAGCTTAGGATTAAAATTAACCCATTATGGAGTTTAGTTTCTATTTTAGGGTTTTAAAGAAACATCGCGACATGACTTTAGTGTAAGACCCTTTTTTTTTAGTATTCTGCTAGCTAGGTCAACAGATTACTACATTTGTAAACATAAACGTCAGGAAAGTTAGCCGACCTTAAGACCGGCTAAAAACTTGTCAAATTAGCTTCACAAAATCAGTTCCTTTTCCTCTAGTGGGGTATAAGGCAGGAAAAAAATTGATAGCTTTGATTGGGAAATACGAGCTAGCTTCATAGGCTTTTTCTTTTTCCACAGAGCTCAGATATGTCAGGTCACCGAAACTGTGCAGTGTTTGGTTGTGGGAACAGTGGTGCAAGGTTAAAAAAGTGGATGAGTATTCCTTGCTCAGTTTATGAGTGTAACCAAGGAAGAAGCCAATGAGTAGTATAGGGCACACCGGTTACTCCGGTTTTTTGAGCAGGAATCTCATTAGCGTGAGCAGGAATAAATTAACGCCGATGACGTCATAGGCTATTGTCCTCATCTCATGAATAAAATGCGGTGGATTTAATTAAGTATACTGGTTTGACCGGTTTGTCATGTTCTATTTTTAGCCTGGTTGATATAACTGGTTTATTTTTGTTTTATGACATAACTTATTGTATTTATCTCATGAATAAAATGCGGTGGAATAAATTAGCGTCTATGACATACTGTCTGAGGAGTAAAGTCAAACCACAACCACCACATTTCTATTGTTTTCCCTCCACCACCACTACCGCCACCAAATTTCTATTGTTTTCCCTCCACCACCACCACATTTCTATTGTTTTCCTCCACCACCACCACCACATTTCTATGGTGGAGGGAAAACAATAGAAATGTGGTGGTGGTGGAGGGAAAACAATAGAAATGTGGTGGCGGCGGTGGTGGTGGTGGTGGTGGTGGAGGGAAAACAATAGAAATGAGGAGGAGGAGGAGGAGGAGGAGGAGGAGGGAAAAATGGGAATAAAAAAATTGCGGAAGGAAAATAGCAAAATTGTGAAAAGGAGAGGGGTAAGTAAAACATTGTTTGCAGTGTAAAAAAAGAGCTATTTTGTCTTTGCCCTCATTAATATGCACGATTTGCCCGCCAAAAGTCAGTGAACCGGAACGAGGACAATCACAGCAGCAGGAAATAGGACTTGCATAATTACATTACGCCTCCGTGATTTTAAGTTACAGACAAGTTTGACTTTACTCCTCAGACAGTATGTCATAGACGCTAATTTATTCCACCGCATTTTATTCATGAGATCAATACAATAGGTTATGTCATAAAACAAAAATAAACCAGTTATATCAACCAGGCTAAAAATAGAACATGACAAACCGGTCAAACCAGTATACTTAATTAAATCCACCGCATTTTATTCATGAGATGAGGACAATAGCCTATGACGTCATCGGCGTTAATTTATTCCTTCTCACGCTAATGAGATTCCTGCTCAAAAAACCGGAGTAACCGGTGCGCCCTATACTACTCCAATGTGACTGTGCCCCTCCTTTCACTTTGTTTCCCTTTCCAACCCAGTTACACGATAGTGAGAGAAGACAGCAATGGATTAAACTGGTAAACAGAAAGGATGAAAAGGGGCGAAAATGGCAACCTACAAGTGATTCAAGAATATGCAGTATTCACTTCCCAGAGGGAAGACCCACAATTCAAAATCCTTACCCTACAATAAATTTAGGATATACATCTGTTGCAAACAGTAAAAAAGGAAGAAAGAGGCCATTAGTTAGGGAAACAACACCTTTAACTAAAAAGGCATGTCATTAAAAGAGTACTTCGGAGTCTCCTGCATTGTCCTATGATGAGCCATCAGCCCCTCCACATCCTCAAAATTCAGACAAGATTGATATACCAGTACATCACAATAGTGGAACTGGCAACAACTCTAGTCAAACTGATGTTAATACACAGGCTAATAATAATTGTATTTGTAATGATAACACTATGAAATCTGAAAACAACTGCCACAGGAATGACAAGAATGTAAACATAATATCTGCTAAAGAAAATGAAATACATTTCTTAAAAAAGCTGGTGGAAAAAGAAAGGAGGGAAGTTGCATTTTGGAGAAAGAAATTTGTAAACAAGCAGCCACCAGCGTTTAGTGCCAAACTTTTAAATACTGACAAAGAAATTAAGACTTTCCTTGGATTGCCAAATAAGACAGCCTTTGAAGTCTTATTCAAACTGCTTGAGAAAAAAGCTCCAAAAATAAAATACTGGCAAGGTCCAAAAAAGTATTCTTCACAAAATCGCAGGAATTTTTCAAGCACACCAAAAAAGTCCGGACCTAGGAGGTTATTGTCTGTCAAAGATGAACTTATATTGACACTTATGACACTTAGACTAGGGTCCTTGAATGCAGACCTAGCTGTTCGCTTTCAAATATCTGAGACAACTGTAAGCAAGGTAATAAACACGTGGGTTCGATTCTTGGCAAAGGAGCTGAAGTGCCTAATCTACAATCCATCGAAAGATGTTTCTTTGCAGCACTTGCCTAAAAAGTTCAACAATGCAAAGTACAGGAGTGTTAGGCACATCATAGATTGTACAGAAATGTTTATTGAAACTCCAAAGGACCCCAAGGTGAAAGCTGCAACATGGTCAGACTACAAACATCATCATACACTGAAATTGCTGGTCTCCATAATGCCATGTGGCTCATTTAATTTAATTTCAGAGGCTTGGGGTGGTAGAGCATCAGATGTTGCTATTACTCGAAACTCGGGTTTCTATGACATTCTTGAATATGGGGATGAAGTCATGGCAGACAAAGGGTTCACCATTGCAGAGGATCTTTTAGTAAGGCATTGCCAATTACACATCCCAACAGGAAAAAGGGGCAGTGAACAAATGAGAAAGGAAGATGTTACAAAAACAAAAGAGGTTGCGAATTTAAGAATTTTTGTTGAGCAGGCAATTCGCCGACTTAAAACATTCAAAATATTGAAGCATGAAATGCCCATCTTACTCTTGGATAAATTTGATGATATTGTCACTATCTGTGCAGCATTGTGCAACTTGTACCCAAAGCTTTGCACTTGAGAGGTTCCCAGGTGCATGGCTATAGACACAGGTTGCTCATGCAACAAATGTGAGTAATGAACAACATCCATTTAATGAATACAACTACAAATCACTAGTGTGACAAAAGTTCTGATGCAACATAATTCTTGAAAAAAAAATTTAAGTTGTTAACTAACTTATGCCAATAACTCTCATCAAAATAAATTCGTTGCATAAAGTAACCAACACAGGTGAAAACGAAAAAATCACAGTACGTTCTCCTGGCCAAAGCTAGTTGTCCTTGTATTTGAGCATAATATGCATGCTCTTTTCTAAGCATTGTGACATTGTCATGTTCCACAAGGTAGGGGAGATTTTTTGCAGACGCTATCTCATTAACAATAGAAAAAGGACTTTTCATTTCTGATAATCCCATTCCACAACAACTGCAATGGACTAGTAAATCTGGAGATGCCCCCAAGTAAGGTCTTGATGGATCAACCGCCGCCCGGTTAGCTAACCGCCGCCCGGTTAGCTCAGTTGGGAGAGCGCAGGTCTGCTGAGCGGGAGGCCGTAGGTTCAAACCCCGGCCCGACCAACACTCAGGGTCTTTAAAGAACTGAGGAGAAAGTGCTGCCTTTGTAATAACATCTGCAAATGGTTAGACTTTCTAGTCTTCTCGGATAAGGACGATAAACCGTAGGCCCCGTCTCACAAGCCCTTGTACATGTAATAAATCTGTGGGACGTTAAAGAACCCACACACTCTTCGTAAAGAGTAGGGCACGTAGTGCCCGGTGTAGTGGTCTATCTCACTTTCACACTCATGTATGGGGGCATCATCACTCATTCCTTCAGTACTTGTAAACTGCACCTTAAGCAGTCTGGCAAAGTCCCCCAACCAGTGTTGTAAATTATCCCTGAAAAGCCCTGTGGGGAGTGGATAATAAGATATTTACAATTTACAATCAACAAATAGCCCACTTTCTGAGAATGTGAATTCCTTGTGATTGCACTTCATTAAAGATATATACTTTTCTTTTGCAATGGGCTCATATTCTTTACCATGATTTAAAGCAGGAATGTTATGTGCTTTACTTGCATCATAACCCATGATTTTTCTTAAGAGAGGCTCTACATTATGGTTTATTGAAGGGTTAGCCTTGATGGTATTAACTCTGGTAAAAACATAGTAAAAATTTGATGCTGTGATTCTGCCTTTGCGCTGATTAGCCCACATTGCATTGTCTGCCTGTCCCCGTGTTTCGGTTTCTATCTGCTGAACTTGCACATCTGTAAGTGCAGGCATTTGAGACAAAAATTCATCCACACTTTTGCAAGTTGTAGCTAATTTGGTAAGTAAATTTGCATTAGACACAACAGGAACCTCAGATGAGACATCTGTTTCATAGTCCCTTTCATAAAATGAAGTAAAACAACCATTTGGTAGTGTCTTCTTAAGTTCTTCAAACATATGCTTGCGATTATTCCCTTGGGTGTCGATATCCTTTCCCTTCAATGGAACAAACAACTTTCGCTTTGCAGACACTGCTGGCCTTGATGCCTCTGTGAAAGAAATTCACATACATTTTAAAAGAGCCTTTAAAGGATGTGGCATGCACGCACCCTATAAGTTATTAAATCCTGCTTAGACAACAGATTGTCTTAAATAAACAAAAATCCCTGAAAAGTACAATTTCATCATACAGTCTTAAATATTTCTATTTCCCCCAAGAGTTAAAATTTTTATATGTTACATAAGACCAGCAATATAGTGAAACCTGTATTAAAAAGACAACCACAGGATCACTTGTTGTCTACACAGAATAAATTTTCAGCTAACAAAGAATCGGTCGGTTTTTTTTTTTAAAAAAAATGGCCAGGGATATCCAGGAACCATTGATGCTTGTTTCTGTATAATATTTTGATTGTGGCTCTTCTATAGTTTCAGTTTGCAAAGGTCATTAGCGAGCTGATTCTTTACAGACGTCAGCAGTTGCTTACACCGGCATGTGTAAAAGAAGTGCAGTGTTCTATTTTTATTCTTTTTCAATCACGGATTACCTACATTACATCTGACTACTATGAGCCATCATTATTAGGGTTAAGAACATGTTGATAACCCTGTCCATGAGAGCATCTGTTGATAATGATGATGATGACGAGAGTCTAACAATATGCAAATAAGAACTATACCTATATTAGCTAACATACAGCGTTCACACCTTTGTTGAATTTAGCTGCTATGAAATTTATATCTTTGGCACGAACAGGCTCAATAACAGTTTTTTGGGAGGGAACATTCCATGTGCAGGCCTTTGAAGTGCATGCCACTACTAAGTTTGTGAATCCACCTCTTACAGCTGCTTCAATGCGAAAGAACATGGCAGTAATGTGGACACAAGAACCACCCAACCTACAGAAACGATTACAGTGTATATTGTGGTTTCGAGTGTCTTCTTAAGTACTCTGATTCCTTATTCTAATGCAGAACTACTAGGATAATTTATTTCTTTTTTCCAGTAGAGCTATATAGCTATATAGGAATTTTTGTGAGGGACATACTGGTAGCTATATGTTACTAAAATCACTTACTTTAAAGGAAATCGCTTACCCTGCTGTACAGGTACAAAAGGCACTGTGAATCTCTCCTGACTCTTTCTTCGCACATATCCACACTATGTGTGGTACATCATTTATTTTCATAGTAGGGGGTGCATTCTGCCTTCAAGAAACAGTTGTTACAGTTATTTATATCAACGGGATGTATATAAATTTGTTTTAACCATCCAGCAGAATATAAGCGATAGGCTTTTCCCTCTTTGTACTCATTCAGAAGACGTTTTTGAAGGGAAATATCGTTCCCTGGATGATCCTTCATTATGTACAAAGTAATATCACTGAGAAGTATAGGTGGCCACTTGGTCATCCCGTTAAGTTCACCTATCCATCCATTATGAAGTTCACTAGGATCCGGTAAAACGCCTTCAGGAGTTTTGAGAAGACTCTCTCTTTCACGTTGCGTCTGAGCAACCCGGGAGGCAGCATTCAAACAAACAGGAATGTTTTGTTCTGCAGCAGCGAAAACGCGGGCAACCAACTCTTCTTTCCTTCCAGAGAGCTTAAGACCTCGTTTCTTAAGAAAGTGTTTCAATGCATCCATTCTCCATGTGTTGATTTCATCGAAAGAAAGTTGCTCAACGGCGGCCATCTTTTTTGGGTAAACTTATTTTCAAACAGGAGCGGACGGAACGGGAACATAAAAAATTTCCAAACACAACGAGGCGGTGTTTCCAATGAAAAATTCCTCTCCTCCTAGCTTGCTGAGATTACAAACTTGTTTTAGTGTCGCTTACGTTCGATAACGATAGCATACACATGTACATACAAAATCTGTAGTGATGCCCGATTGAACTTTGTACTTACCCACAATCCCGCGCGACGTCTGAGATTCGCGATTCGTGTATTTTCTCACTTCTTTTCCTACTAAATTAAATTGACTCCCCTTATTTCAATTTCTTCAGTTACTACTGAAGTGTCCGTCCTCCTTCGTAGACTCTACTCATGTCAACTGAAGTTCTTAATAGTGTTTACCCTACAAAATTCGGAGTGCGAGGCAAATTTGTTCGCCAGGCTTTTTCCTGAGTGTGACTAAAAAGTAGCCTCTGCCCTGCCGCCGACAACCGTTCAATTTTCTATTTTGCATACGCGAAAGTCGTCACGCGATTCGCAAGCAACTGAAAATCGTCACGTCTTTCGTCAATATTCTGCGCGAGTTTCGCGTTAGTCAAACTTGCGAACAACTCACCTGCTCCAGCTTTGTTTTGGTTTTCTGCTTTTCTCCCTCTGGGTTTAAGTATTTAAGGACTTTGGTCGCAAATATAAGATCCACTAATTTCCTTGAATCGTCCTTTTCTAGGAAAGTATATGCTCCCAACTGAAGTATTAATAAAGTCCTGTCTGCTTTGCGGGGACCACATTTTACTAAAAAAGCAGTTTTTTCTACTTATTATAGTAGCAATACAGTCATGTTAAAGAGGTTTTTTGAGACAGAGTTAAACCGTCTTAACGCCTTTGTAAAAACTGCTACAGATGCATTGATGCTATATATCAAAAGCCGGGAGAATGTTCTAAAACGTTTCACGGAGCAAGTAAATTTTTGTTGGCTGTATTTTGCTCTACCCTTTTGTTTCATGCTTAACGAGGGCGATAATCAGTCAATTTGTAAGGGGGTGGGGGATGGGGGCCTTCGATGTAGGATTTCTTTGGGGTGGGTAGCGATTTTTAGTCTGATTTTTTTCTTTCGCTGATCTTCTTACTAGATCCCAATTCAAAATGGAATATACTCCACAACAGTTAAACTATTTCAGAATATGTTATATCGCCTTCAACTTGGTGCCCGAAGGGCTTCGGAAAGTCTTCAAACAAGAGTGGAATTTCCTTTACATGACAACCCCATTTGGAGAATGGAAAGACATTCCACAAAATGGCCACGATCTCTACAACAACGAAACAGGGAAAAGTCGCAAAAAAAATGCTCGATATTTTGCGACAATACAAAAGGGAAACACAGCAGAGTGGGACTGCAGTTGTGTACTTTTTGCGATATTGTTCTCGGATAGTATTGGCACCACTCTGAGTTCGACAATCAGAAAAGAGATCGACGATCTTCGACAGGTGCGAAACGACATCGCCCACATAAACGAGGTTGAACTTACTGATGCTGAGTTCAAAAATTATGTAGCAAGAGTGATAGCTGCATTTACATCTTTGAAACTCTCAACTGATGAAAGCGAGGATGTTAAAAACCAGAGCAGCTTTCCCACGGCAGAAGTAAAAAGCTTAAAGCTAAAGGCTGATGGACTTAAAGCTGATTTAAAAGCGAAAAATGAAGAAGTTAAAAATCTAAACTCCGAATTACAGACCAAGCAGGAAGAAGTAGAAACCCTTACTCAGGAAATCCATACCAAAGTTGAGTCTTTCTGTAGTCTTACATTCAGGCCATCGCACCAAATCATCAGACGTTCCAACGATGTCACAAGAATCAAGAACAAGCTGGAGGAACTTTATAGTGAAAGCAAAGGGGCTATCAGCACCATTTATATATCAGGAATTCCGGGCTGTGGCAAAAGTCAATTCGCTCGTCAAGTGGGACAGGAAGTCTATTACAAAAGCTTGCGAGAAGACGAAGGTCTAACATTTGTTTCTACTCTGAATGCAGAAACCCTTGACACACTTGCCGACTCTTATTTTAATCTAGCTAAACAACTGAGAGTTACGGAATACGCTCTGACCAACCTAGCAACCTCCACGAAGGTAGACTCAGGTGAAAAAATTCAACATTTGAAGAGTTTTATTTCTCCAAAGGTGAAACAATTTTCTTGCTGGCTGATTATTGTGGATAATGTTGTTGACGTATCCGTGGTTCGCAGTTATCTGCCTCCAACCGCCAGTGAAGAGTGGGGTCATGGTCAGATGCTAGTAACTACTCAAGATACTCAGTCAATACCCTTCAATTCCCCTCATACTTACCATGAGTCTCTCAGTAAAGGAATGCACCCAGATGATGCAGTAGACCTTTTAAGAGAAGTGTCCCAAATTTCGAATCAACAACAAGCTGAGGAGGTTGCTGAAGTCCTCGAGTATCAGCCACTTGCCTTGGCAGCTGCTGCAGTCTACGTGCAAACTATTGTCAACTATGGTACCCCTAATTACGGTTGGACAAAATACCTGGAAACATTGAATAGCGAGGAACGCGAAGCCAGAGAAGAGCTTTTCGCGAAAAAAAACAGAGCATACCCCAAAACAACGGCTACTGCAATCAGAATGGCAATAACTCGAGCTTTGGAAAGCGACAAAGTTCTTTGTGAAGTATTTTGTTTGTTTTCGCTTTGCACATCTGATTCTCTACCTATTGAGGCTGCAGTTGACTTTGTTAAATTTCGTAACAAACAAGAAAAAGAAGAATTTATCAGAGCTAAAATTCTGGAATCCACCATGATAACTTGCTTGTATGATGTTGACGGCACACCCACTTACTTAAGAGTACATAACGTTGTTCATGAAGTGCTTAAGTCCACTGTAACATCACTCCTGAACCGCACACATAAAGCTGAGTACTTTTCTGTTGCTGTTAAGATTTTCAGTTCATTAATTGAAGACAACAAGAAGCTACTACTTACAAGTGAGAGTGCGTGCATAAAGTTAAGGCTAACTACCAGTCATTGCAAAGAGTTATATCAACATTTCAAGACCAATTTTACTAGCACAGAGTTAACAAATAATGAATTATTCCCCTCCATAGCTCCTAGAAATTTAGTATCCTGGCTTTCCTCGACTGCTGAAGTCAGTCTCGACTTGAGTAATATATCGGACGCTCACCTCTTTTGTACATCATGCTCTGATTTTGAAAATTATCTTGATGACGAGCTAAGAGATAAGCTGGAAAAGGCGAATTATTTTCGAGTGCAAGGCCTTGTTTCCGAGGACCTTGGTCAGTACAATCAGCCTAAAGAATACCATGAGAAGAATCTTGCCATTAGAAAAGAGATTTATGGTGAACACCATGGTGACGTAGCGCAGAGTTACAACAACCTGGGAAATGTTTACAGTGCCCTTGGTCAGTACAATCAGGCTAAAGAATACTATGAGCAGTCTCTTGCCATTAGAAAAGAGATTTATGGTGAACACCATGGTGACGTAGCGCAAAGTTACAACAACCTGGGAAATGTTTACAGCGCCCTTGGTCAGTACAATCAGGCTAAAGAATACTATGAGAAGTCTCTTGCCATTAGAAAAGAGATTTATGGTGAACACCATGGTGACGTAGCGAAAAGTTACAACAACCTGGGACTTGTTTACAGTGTCCTTGGTCAGTTCAATCAGGCTCAAGAATACCATGAGAAGTCTCCTGCCATTAGAAAAGAGATTTATGGTGAACACCATGGTGACGTAGCGCAAAGTTACAACAACCTGGGAAATGTTTACAGTGCCCTTGGTCAGTACAATCAGGCTAAAGAATATCATGAGCAGTCTCTTTCCATTAACAAAGAGATTTATGGTGAACACCATGGTGACGTAGCGAGAAGTTACAACAACCTGGGAATTGTTTACAGGAAGCTCGGTCAGTACAATCAGGCTAAAGAATACCATGAGAAGTCTCTTGCCATTAAAAAAGAGATTTATGGTGAACACCATGGTGACGTAGCGAGAAGTTACAACAACCTGAGACTTGTTTACAGTGACCTTGGTCAGTACAAGCAGGCTAAAGAATACTATGAGAAGTCTCTTGCCGTTAAAAAATTATTTACGGAGAGGAGCATTCCTCTGTAGCGAACAGTCATCTCGACCTTGGCAATATCTATTGTAGCGTTAAACAGTACCCTGTTTCTGAAGAATGCTATGAAAAGGCTCTGAACATTTATAAAACCTTGTATGGCGAGCAGCATGATGTCGTGAAAAGAACTTTCAACGAGTTAGAATTCGTTAAAAGGAAACAAAGAGAACTTAATCAAACTCGTTACAAATGTCGCATTGTGTAAGAATAGCACCTATACACTGGGGGACTTTTACCTTTTCCACCAGAACTAATAATTATACCTCACTTTAGGATCTTTGCGAGTCATTCATTGTTTCTAGGCTAAGTTGTTTTTAAAAACCAAGTATTTGAGCGATTTAGAAACACCCCATTCAAATAAGCGTTCCCCCACCCATAATAGCCCTCCCTGCTGAATATCTGATATTGGCAGTATGGATATCTTCGATAAATTCAATCAATGACACATCTCCAATAACACACCTTTTATGCACCCTATAGTCTACCCATTCTCTGCCTCATTTTGAATATCTTTTGTTTCTCATTTCTCCTGGCGTATTTTAGCATTTGTAGTGTCAACATTCGCTCTGTTCGTTCTCCTCCTGTAGAAAAAATGGGCTTTGAAAAGGCACCATTGTGAAGAATCGGGTCTCTTATATTGCAACTTAAAGAAGCGGCAAAATTCTAAATGATGGCATGTATCATTTCTGCTGAATTGGCCACATTCCTTGGTGCAAATTCCATCAGCGATTAAATTTCTAGGCTTATAATAATATGAGGGAAACAAAACGTCGTTACAAAGAGAAGTAGTGTTGTTACAGAAAGGTGTTCTTCTTTTGCAAGAAAATCTGTACATGTTGTGCATTTTACTGGCCCAAAGCAAATTTGTTTTGTAGCCGGTGACGTGTATCGCGTTACTGACGCGTAATTTTATGAAATTCGAAGTCAATATTCAACCAATGCCTGGTGTCTTGATTGACATTATCTTGATTTTTTTTTTTCTAGATAGAGTTTCTATAATATACTTTCTTAAAGTTAGAGCCTATGTACATTTTTATCAATATTATTTGAATTATAATCAATTTAATGTACTTAGGGCAGCAACTATTTCGAAATATACTGTAATAAATTATTAATATTATAATTATTGTACTTGTGCCTCTCTTCGCCCAGGTGAGTAAATAGGTACTGGTGACATATTGCTGCAATAGGTAGTGGGGGGAGGGGGCAGTAACACTGCGATGGACTATTTGAACTAGCATCCCATCCAGGGTGGAGTATGCTTAATGCTGCAAAAAGCTCGTTAACCTCCTGCTTTGTGGGCTTCGTCAGGGACCGCGGAGCCGGGAGGCTAAAAAAAAGTCTTTAGCCACATCCCCCTCGCCCCCATCACTTTTTTAGGAAAAATAAAGACTTACTAAGAGGAGTTTCTCCTTAGCCTTTCCACTTCAAGTCATTAGCAGCTCTCCCCAACCCCCCTCTCCTCCGCTTGTGAAAATTTTTCGTCTTCCCTATTCTTTGGCTAGTGTCCGACCAAGAGAGAATGATCATTCTCTCTTGGTCCGACTTGATGTACATTATTTGTTTATTTATGCAGTTACGTAGATTAAGTGGCGGGGCTGAGCGGTATGTTTGTAGCCTCGCTTACCTTATTTTGCTTAAAAGTTCTGTCTTTTTTTTCCCACCCTATTTTTGTTGGGAACCAATCTTTGATACCCTATCTATTTCAGTCCACACAACGGTGGGCAGTCATACATGTTCCAAGTTTCCAAAAGCAGCTGTGGGTTTGCATCAACATTACCCTTACAATGGCTTCAGTTATACGGATTTCTCAAGAAAAAATAAATAAAAACGTAAAAGGGGCGTTTTCTAAAATTACTACCCAACTTCAGACCAAACCGTTTAATAACCTACTTCAAAACACCATCAATAAATCAAGCTACACCCTAGAACCACATAGGCTCAAAACCTACTCCCTCTAATACCGCACACATTTAACAGGCTTAAAATCAATAAGAAAGTGTTTCCCCACCCCACCCATTTCTAGCTTGTATCTAGCCTGCATTACAGGCCCATAAGAAGGATAACGCGCGAGATAAGCGTGTGAGAGAGCAGAGAACTCAGTAACCAATCCTATTTTATTTAGCAAGTAAATATTCCAAGGCTTATTGAGCTTTCACGCTGTTTGCTTTTCATAGTTGTTTCTTCCACAAAACTGTTTCTTCCAGAACCTGAAATTGGCACATCGTCCTGTTGGTATAAAGTTCCGTCATTATTTCGTTCCCTTTATAGGGTAATTGTTCATTGTTGTTACTTGATTTTTCTTCTGAACTCTTCTTTGCGTTCTTCGCGCGCAGCACTATCTCTTTACTGCTCAAGCAAACGCCAGAAGAACAAATGAGTAATCAGCGTTGTTCTTGAATTGCGGCAAGTAATCACACAAACCAATTGTACTCAAAGTAGTGAAAGTAAATTGAAAACACTTGATATATGACCATTCCTTGTGTCTCACGTAAGCCATGCAAGACAGCCATTAATGGTAATAGACAAACCACAGTTACCACAATCGCTGTCAACGTAACTTTAAGCTTCACTTTTTGAGTGAGATTTGATCTTTTCAAAACGCCTTTCTCAAATAAAGTAATCTGTTTGTAATTAATTTTGTAAATAGCTCCGTTATTTTATGTCCGATGGATTTACCAGTCAAGCACGTTCCAGGGATTCCGATAAGTGCGTATAGCACGCAAAACAGACGCCCTTGAACTGTTATTGGGACAATGTTACCATAGCCTGCAAAAAGAAAATCATTTTTTGTAAGTCACAACCTAAGAGGGAGGCATCTGAATGGTTGTCAGATGGGAAAAAATTTCGAGATTACTTTGGCTTCAGGTCACCTCGCGGTGCATTGCCAAAACAATACCTGGCGAGAAATATGAGCAAAAATTTGACAAAAATATCCGTACTACGCGTAGTGGCGTAGTTTTATGCGTAATCTGTCTTTGCAGTACGTGACAAACTATTGCGTGAAATGATATGCATTTGCAACGACTGTTTGCTGTGTCTTTTATACTTCTCATTACAGTAAACTTAGTAAGTAGCCTTTTTATCTATTCTTTCTTGTAAGACCTTTTCCTCAACATATACTGTTGTTGTGCAATTATTGTCCAAAAACAAAGAAAGTTTTGTTACTAAAAGAAAACAGTTATAATAGCTTTTCACTAACATCTAGTTCCTGAGTAAATCTTAAGTACAACTAGGCCATGGTAGTGTAGTGCACTGTATGACGAGTCTTACTACATCATAAACCGAAGTAAATCTTCAGTACAAGTAGGCCGCAGTAGCGTAGTAGCGTAGTGCAAGGTATCACAAGTCTTACTTTATAAACCGAAGTAAATCTTAAGTACAAGTAGACCGTACTAGCGTAATAGCGTTGTACACTGTATGACAAGTCCTACAATACAAAAAAGAAAGTCAGTATTCTTTATTGGTAGGCTGTAGTAGCGTAGTACACGGTATCAAGTCTTACTACATAAACCGAAGTAAATCTTATGTACAAGGAGGCTGTACTAGCGTAGTAGCGTAGTACACTGTATGACGACTATTACCGTAAAAAAAAAAACACAAGTCAATATTCTTTACAACCAGGCCGTAGTAGCGTAGTAGCATAGTAGAGTAGTCCACGGTATCACAAGTCTTACTATATAAACCGAAGTAAATCTTAAGTACAAGGAGGCCGTACTAGCGTAGTAGCGCAGTAAACTGTATGACCACTATTACCACAAAAAACAGAAGTCAAGATATTCTTTACAACTAGGCCGTAGTAGCGTAGTAGCGTAGTACAAGGTATCACAAGTCTTACTCAGGACTTACTATATAAACCGAAGTAAATATTAATTACAAGTAGGCCGTAGTAGCGTAGTAGCGTAGTACACTGTATGACGACTTATTACTATACAAAAAGAAAATCAATATTCTTTACACTCAGACCGTAGTAGCGTAGTAAATAGTCTGGCGTGTCCTGCTGTACCCTCACAAAGGACCTACCGGAGAGGAGAAGTCGTCATGTTGCTATGGCAGCAAAATTTTTGGAAGACAACGAACCAAAAACGTCTCTTACACAGTGATTTCAAACTGTTTCAAACTTCATCGATCTAATTCAGGTTCATTTCATCCGTTAAATGTTTCTGGAGTAGAATCCGAAAGTCTGACCATATCTGACCTTAGAAAACAAACCCAAATTTTTTTGCTGTGTCCACAAGTTCCTTATAGAGCGGGCGCGTGAAATTAGGAAGTTCTCTATAGATGCAAGAGAGTAGCTTAATACCTTGTCTGTAATAATTTTTAAGGGCGCTATACCTAGTGCATGCAGGGACGTATGTAGCTCGTGCAAGTGACGCCCACTCATTAAATAACAATTATTTAAAATAGTTACTTAATTAACCTATTAATTTTCAATCAAGTCTAATCTATCCTTAGTACATGCGTCTTGATTGACATTATCTTAATATTTTTAGATAGAGTATCTATAATATACTTTCTTAAAGCTAGAGCTCACGTACATTTTCATTAATATTATTCTAATTACAATCAAATTAATGTACTTAGGGGAGCAACTATTTCGAAACACACTGTAATAAATTATTAATATAATTATAATCATTGTAGTTGCCTTGCATTGCCTCTCTTCGCCCAGGTGAATAAATAGGTACTGGTGACATATTCCTGGAATAGGTGGTGGGGGGAGGGGGTAGTAACACTGCGATGGACTATTTGAACTAGCACCCACCCCTTAAATAACAATTATTTAAAATAGTTACTTAATTAACCTATTAATTTTCAGTCAAGTCTAATCTATCCTTAGTACATGCTGGGACGTGTGCGTCGTTCAAGTGACACCTGCCCCTTTAATAACGATTTCATTCTGTCCTATTCTTGCTGAAAACAGGACATTTGATAGCCAATCAGATTTGAGAATTTTGTTCTCGCTATGTTTAACTTACTAGTAAGAGTAAGGTGTACTAGTTTCTCCGAGATAAGAGTACTTTCTTGTTTTGTGTTAAATACCCTTCCCGTCTTTGGAGTTTGGAGAGCAAGAAGTTCTGAAATCTTCATTTTTTCTCAGAACTCGCTATCGTCAAATGGTTAGGGGTTCCGTGTTAACTTGAACTGGTGGTGCTGTTCAAATTCTTCTCTCTTGCTTCGCTTCTTCCCTTTTTTTCATACCCC